TCCTGAGGGGAACCTTAAGCCAAAAAACATTCTGATAAGATCTCTGTTTTCAGGACAGATAAACAGAGTAGAAGCACAAAGCATTTTTCAGTGGAGTGGCCCATGGTTATCCTTTCCTTTCCTCTGATGCTTCAGGAACAAAATGTAAATTTTTTTTTTTTTTTTTTTTTTTTTTTTTTTTTTTGAGAGGGAGTTTCGCTCTTGTTACCGAGGCTGGAGTACAATGGCGCGATCTCAGCTCACCGCAACCTCCGCCTCCTGGGTTCAAGCAATTCTCCTGCGTCAGCCTCCCGAGTAGCTGGGACTACAGGCGCATGCCACCATGCCCAGCAAATTTTTGTATTTTTAGTAGAGACAGGGTTTCACCTTGTTGACCAGGATGGTCTCGATCTGTTGACCTCGTGATCCACCCGTCTGGCCTCCCAAAGTGCTGGGATTATAGGCGTGAGCCACCGTGCCTGGCCATTATTTTTATTTTATTTATTTATTTATTGTTTTTTAGAGACAGAGTTTCACTCTTGTTGCCCAGGCTGGAGAGCAATGGCACAATCTCGGCTCATTGCAACCTCTGCCTCCTGGGTTCAAGTGATTCTCCTCCCCAATTTATTTTGTATTTTTAGTAGAGATGAGGTTTCTCCATGTTGGTCAGGCTGGTCTCGAACTCCTGACCTCAGGTGATCTGCCTGCCTTGTCTTCCCAAAGTGCTAGGATTACAGGTATGAGCCACCGTGCCCAGCCAATATGTAAATATTTTTAAAACTGGAATCCCTTTCTCTGTGAAAAAATGATAAACAATAAAAATACTGCATCTGGGCTGGGTAAAGTGGCTCCTGCCAGTAATCTAAGCACTGTGGGAGACCAAGGTAGAAGGATCACTTGAGTGCAGGCATTCAAGACCAGCCTGGATAACACAGTGAGAACCCATCTCTAAAAAAAAATATCAGCCCTCTCCTCCTGGGTATCATGGTGAAACCCTGTCTCTACTAAAAATACAAAAATTAGCCGGGCATGGTGACAGGCACCTGTAATCCCAGCTACTCGGAAGGCTGAAGCAGAATGGCTTGAACCCAGGAGGCAGAGGTTGCAGTGAGCCAAGATTGCGCCACTGCACTCCAGCCTAGGTGACACAGGGAGACTCCGTCTCGGAAAAAAAAAAGGGGGGGGGGGGCTAGGGCAGAAAAAAAAATAAAAATAATAAAAATCAGCCCTGCATAGTGGGGCATCCATGGAGTCTCAGCTACTCAGGAGTCTGAGACGGAGAATCACTTGAGCTCAAGAAGTCAAGGTTACAGTGAGCTGTGTTTGTGCCAGTGCACTTCTTCATGGGTAAAAGAACAACACTCTGTCTCAGCTGGGTGCAGTGGCTTACACCTGTAATACCAGCACTTCAGGGTGCCAATGCAGGCAGATCACGTGAGGTCAGGAGTTCAAGATCAGCCCAGCCAACATGGTAAAACCCCTTCTCTACTTTAAAAAAAAAAAAAAAAAATTAGCTGGATGTGGTGGCAAGCAGCTGTATTCCCAGCTACTTGGGAGCCTGAGGCACGAGAATCACTTGGACCCAGGAGGTAGAGGTTGCAGGGAGCCAAGATCGTGCCACTGTACAGAGTGGCATGTACCTGTGGTCCCAGCTACTGGAGAGGCTCAGGTAGGATGACTGCTTGAGCCCAGGAGGTCACAGCTGCAGTGAGCTATAATCACAGCAGTATACTCCAGCCTGAGTGACAGCAAGACCCTTTTTGGAAAAAAACATCCTCCAGGCTGGGAGCAGTGGCTCATGCCTGTAATCCTAGCACTCTGGGAGGCTGAGGCAGGCAGATCACGAGGTCAGGAGTTTGAGACCAGCCTGGCCAACATAGTGAAACCCTGTCTCTACTAAAAAAACAAAAATTAGTCAGGCATGGTGGCGCACACCTGTAGTCCCAGCTACTCAGGAGGTGGAGGCAGGAGAATCATTTGAACCCATGAGGCAAAGAGTGTGGTGAGCCTAGATCACGCCACTGCACTCCAGCCTGGGCAACAAAGTGAGACTCTGTCTCAAAAAAAAAAAAAAAAGAAGAAAAAAGTCCTCCATCCTGCAAAGGAGAAGAAATGTTATTTTGGGTACTCTTCGTATTCACCAATCTATCTATCTACCATACTTTCTTGTAGAAATTATTTCATTTTTCTCCAGTTATAATAGTAATCTTTCCCTATTTTTCTCCAGTAGCATTCCTAAAATTAGTCCCTATAACTCAATTGGAAATCCCACAACAAAAGGATAGACCTGAGAGATGTACTACACTGCTCCTAGGGAAGAAAAATAAATATTAATAAATGGAATATAAGACTAAACAGTGATTTATTTATTTATTTATTTATTTAAGATGGAGACTCGATCTGTAGCCCAGGGTGGAGTGCAGTGGTGCAATCTTAGCTCACTGCAGCCTCCGCCTCACGGGTTCAAGCAATTCTCGTGCCTCAGCTTCCCAAGCAGCTGGGATTACAGGCATGCACCACTATTCCCGGCTAATTTTTCTATTTTTAGTAGAGAGAGGATTTCACTATGTTGGCCAGGTTGGTCTTGAACTCCCCAAGTTCCTTAGCCTCCCAAAGTGTTGGGATTACAGGCATGAGCCAGTGACTAGCCATCTTTTTTTCTGAAATCTACCTCCTTCTAGCCTGTGCATAAAATTTTCTAACATTGTAAGCTCTAGTGAAAAAATGCGATTTACATTAATAAAAAACCTGAAGCTGCAATAAGTGAACAATTCTTTACAAAAAGACAAACCTACAAAGGGGCAGTGCTGACTGGAACACAGTGATGTGTGACTAAGTGTCAGCACAGGCCATTTCTCTGTGCCCATCCTGCTCACTGAAAGTGCTGCATGACTATTTTCCAACAACACTGCACTGTCCCTCCATGTGCCCCAAATGCATTTTCTGTTTTTTTTTTTTTTTTCTTTTCTTTTCTTTTCTTGAGACAGAGTCTTGCTCAGTTGCCCAGGCTGGAGTACAGCGGTATGATCTCTGCTCATTGCAGAATCCACCTCCCAAGTTCAAGCAATTCTTGTGCCTCAGCCTCCGGAGTAGCTGCGACTGCAGGTGTGTGTCACCACATCTGGCTAATTTCTTTTGTATTTCTAGTAGAGCCAGGGTTTCACCATGTTGGCCAGGCTGGTCTCAAACTCCTGGCCTCAAGTGATCCACCCACCTCAGCCTCCCAAAGTGCTGGGATTATAGGTGTGAGCCACCGCACCTGGGCAGTTTTCATTTACAGGTTATTGTTACATTTTGTTGGGAGTGGATTTACCAGTCCTTAAGAATAGTTTTCTCCCCTCACTAGTCTGAGAGCATCCAGAGGACAGGAATCATTTGTCACATAACCTTGTAAAATCTCCAAGGGGGAACCTCAAAATCAAGAAATGCTGCTAAAGTGTCTGTGCCTAGGAAAGATAAAAGGAGACACAAAGGTTTATTTCAGTGAAGTATCTGGTGGTGATTCTTGGCTTTCCCCTCCTGTGAAATGTTCAGAAGCAGAATATAAAATTTTTGGCCGGGCTCTTCACTTAAGCATTCCTTCCTACCACCTTGAAATTTTAGACAAAGCTTCACACTCTCAACCAACGTACACCTACAGAATCCCTCTACCACCTGTGTACCTCCTAATCCCCCTTCCACAAGTCCCACCCTTTCTGCCAAAGGAACTTAGACCTTCCAGGCGTTGATTCATGATTTTCCCTGCAATTCCTGTCTCTCTCGAGTGTGAACAAAACCAAACTGTTGAAGGCCGGGCGCGGTGGCTCAAGCCTGTAATCCCAGCACTTTGGGAGGCCGAGGCGGGTGGATCACGAGGTCAAGAGATCGAGACCATCCTGGTCAACATGGTGAAACCCCGTCTCTACTAAAAATACAAAAAATTAGCTGGGCATGGTGGTGCGTGCCTGTAATCCCAGCTACTCAGGAGGCTGAGGCAAGGAGAATTGCATGAACCCAGGAGGCGGAGGTTGCGGTGAGCCGAGATTGCGCCATTGCACTCCAGCCTGGGTCACAAGAGTGAAAATCCGTCTCAAAAAAAAAAAACAAAAAACAAACAAACTGTTATAAGCCACATCAGGACCACTTACTCCAGGCTTTCTGAGGTTGTGCTTTCCTCAGCCGAGGTCTCTCCTATTCAGCTCTGTCGCCTAGGCTGGAGTGCAGTGGCCCGATCTCGGCTCACTGCAACCTCCGCCTCCCGGGTTCAAGCAATTCTCCTGCCTCAGCCTCCTGAGTAGCTAAGATTACAGACGCCCGCCACCACGCCCGGCTAATTTTTATATTTTTAGTAGAGACGGGGTTTCACTATGTTGGTCAGGCTGGTCTTGAACGCCTGACCTCATATTCCGCCCGCCTCGGCCTCTCAAAGTGCTGGGATTACAGATGTGAGCCACCGCGCCCGGATAAATAAACTTTAAGTTATTTTAAACAGTTCAGCTTTTTCTGTTAACAAATTTCGAGTAATTTGTAATTACAAATTACAATGACTGGGTGTTTATTATTCAGAGCTCTCAAAGGAACTCTTAATATATTTTTTAAAAATCGTATTCTGAGAAGCAAAACTCTACTTATTAACGTGTCTCCGTTTAATTTTTAACAAGAGAAAGGAGGTACTGGGGACCCCACAGCCTACTGCTCCTCCTACACAAACCCCACATCCGAGGTAGGATCCCACCATGACCCCCCCGGTGGTCCCCGCACAATCTGGGGAGACTCGGGGCAGTGGGCGCGGAGCTGCCCAGAGAGGGCTCAGGAGACCGGGTCGCAGTCGCCGCGCAGGGGCGGGACAGGACGCCTGGGGTCCCAGCTGCCGGCCAAGCCCCACCCTGAGGCCAAGGGGACCGAGGGCCGAGCTGTGCCAGGGGGACTTGGGTCCCAGAACCCCGAGTCGCCGCGGGGAGGCCCGGGCTCTGCCACAGCCGGTTCCGGCCGGTTCCAACCAGCCCCTCCCCCGTCTCCAGACCCCTGGCCCGCATGCTTACCATTTCTTGCCTTTCAGGGGGCTCCCACGACCAGTGCAAGTCACAGCATAGGCGACAGAGTGACAGAAGCGATGGCAGAGGTACCTGGACCCTCTGGGAGGGGAAAGCCGGACTCCCAACCTCAGAGCGCTGCCCGGAGCCAGGGTGTGAGAAAAGCGGAGCCTCCTCACTCCCCGATGGGCAGCTGGTAAGGCCCCGCCCCAGCAGCCCGGATTGGATGAAGTATCTGGCCCCGCCCCAGCAGCCCTGAGTGACAGCAGAAGCCCTTGGAAACGGGGTTTTGCAGAACCGGTGTGACCGGATTCATCGACAGATTCTTTAAGCCAGAGGTCTCTAACCTTTTTAGCAGCGGAGACCGGTTTCTTTGGAAGACAGTTTTTCTAAGTGGCAGATGGTTTCGGAATGAAACTGTTCCACCTTAGATCATCAGACATTTGATTATCATAAGGAAAGCCCAACCTAGATCCCTCGCATGCGGAGCTCACAATAGGGTTCAGGCTCCTGTGACACACTAATGCCTCTGCTGCTCTGACAGGAGGCATAGCCAGGGTTGGGGACCCCTGCCGTAGGGTACTGTTGAAACTTTCTTGTCCGGCTTGTAGCTCATGCCTATAACCATACCACTTTGAGAAGCCAAGGCAGGCAGATTGCTTGAGCTTAGGAACTTGAGAACAGCCTGGGCAACATAGCAAAACCCCGTCTCTACAAAAGATACAAAGATTAGCCTTGCTGGGCGGGCGAGGTGGCTCACGTCTGTAATCCTAGCACTTTGGGAGGCCGAGGTGGGTGGATTGCCTCAGCTCAGGAGATCAAGACCAGCCTGGCAAACACAGTGAAACCCCATCTCTACTAAAAATACAAAAAATTAGCCGAGTGTGGCGGTGTGCTCGGGAGGCTGAGACAGGAGAATCGCTTGAACCCGGGAGGTGCAGGTTGCAGTGAGCCGAGATAGCGCCATTGCACTCCAGCCTGGCTACAGAGTGAGACTCCTTCTCAAAAAAAAAAAAAAAGCCTGGTGTGGTGGTGCATGCTAATAGTCTCAGCTACTTGGAAGGCTGAGCTGAGAGGATCGCCTGAGCCCTGGAAGGTCGAGGCCACAGTGAGCTGTGATTGCTCCAGCCTGGGTGTCAGAATGAGACCCTGTCTTAGAAAAAAAGAAAAAAAAAAAAAAGAAAGAAAAAAACTATAGGCAATTGCAATAGGGTTTAATATACATAGAGCCAGCTGAATGAAAGACTAGAGTTTTTTTTTTTTTTTTTTTTTTTT